TGTGATTAGTTTCTCAATTTGTTTAGTGGCTATTTCAATTTGCCTTTCTGGATACAAATTTTCCTGTAGTTGCTCATCTTGTCTCCTTCCCACTTTCACCGCTCTTCGAAAACTTAGCTTGATACGTTTGTGAACACTACCCACACTTCTGCAGCCACCTTCGTCTGTGTGCATTCCTCTGAGCTTACCGTACATCCTATGTGACATCAGTGCATAATCTATCGTCGACTGAAGCCTTCCTACCGCCCATGTTATTTGACAGCGACTGTCGCATGTCCCATGTTATATGTTCCATGTTATATGACAGCGACTGCTGCAGAGCCGTCTTGTGAGCACTTCGAGTACTAGGGGTGGGCATGACGGAGAACGGCGTACAAGTCCACACCCTTAAGAGCCTCGCTCTTAAAACACTGATTGCACTTATTTTTATTTTTGTAGGTTCCTTTGTATGGTCATGAAAGTTAAGTCCTCGAAAAGGTCAGCAAAGTCACATCATCCACTTTTGGCCAATCCCTGTGAGTGGGTATGAGCCATGTTAGAGGCTACAACAACAATATCAACCACCATCAATAAAGAGGTGCGAGAGCACTCTGCTACCACCCGACAATGTGAGACATGACACGCTTGGACGACGCTACCCCTAGCATGATGGTGAACATGATGCTTGGAATATTGCTACCTACCCACTCTGTGGGGTTGGCCAAGAGTCCCCTATGCTTGATTAAAGCAGGAAATGAGAACAACAGTGGTCGAATCTCCCTCTTTACGAATTGGTATACCACGGTAGCGAGACAAGTCGTCACAGAGATAGTTAAGCGTTTATTGTGCATTGTTTTATGAACAGCAACAAACTGTAAACTCAAGAGAAGAACAGCAAGCAGCTACGAAATTGTAGCCCACACCTCAAGCAGAAAACCCACAAGAATTGTTCATACGTGGCATGGTCACGGAGTTATAACTCTCAGCTCGACACTTACAGCACGCTGTTATAGAAAAAAAGACGCACGAAATAAGCGCACAAGTATACGCAGAACAAGCGCATGTAACTGTCACAATTAGTCGTGTTAGCAGTGTGCTTCTTTTTCTAAACACGGCCGTGGAGAGGAAAAAAAGACCTTGCTTTCTCGAATTACGAGTCTGATAAAAGCGCGCACGCAGGAGAGGCCACACTTCGTAAAGGTGATGCTTCATCTCGCTACAAATAACAAAAACGCGATAAAGTTTTCGCACTCTGAGGACTGCCAAACGGTGTATGGTGCACATAAATGGCTTGTCGTTAGCTTCTTCGGAAACGCACGCTTTTTGGCACAGTGAATAGCGCCTCGCGCTTTAAATTGATAAGTCGCTGGCTCGATGCTGGCCTCAGAATCTTTCCTTCTCCTTTCCTTCTTAGCAATTTGATATTATATATCTACAATGACATATACATGACGGAAATACGCCAGCAGAGAAGTGGTGGACCCTGACATAAAATACTTTTTTGTTAAAACATAGCGTGAAAATAAATCTACAATGATTCCTAAAGACGTCTTGCTATCCTTCTTAAAAACGGGAGAGTTTCTGTTGGCCTTCCTAATTTCTTGTCATTCTTTTCTTTAGATTGCGGCCTGCTTCATGTTTTATTTTTATGCGTGGCTTAATTCAAACTGTTCCACATGTAATATTAAACCTAAACATCAAATCATGGCGTCCTTTGGCTTAAGCAAGCGTTCAATATGCTACAGGTGGCTATGTTATTTGTCGTTTTGTCTGCGTTATGGCAATCGATCGACGATGACACCATACGAGAACTTGGCCCCATAAAGCATTCTTTACTTTAAAAATTGAGTTGGTGAAGATTCGTGAGTTGAAGCGATGGGGAGAACTTCAATTGTCGGAATAAAACTCCAGCGCCTAGCGACCACTAACTAGACTTCTGTATCGAAGACAACGTTCCCCACCACATGTACGTCACGAGCACCACACTCGTTTCTTTTTTGTTTGCGAAAATAGTTCCCGACTACGCAATCACAATGATAAGGGGCCCGTCAATTTCACCACCCGCTCCGTCTTTATAGTGAGGAGTGGATTGTTCTCATACACTTGTCACAGGCTCAACCTTATGGTGACGCATTATTTTCAGGGCATGAATTGTCTGGCCTTGGGGCTTGTGTATTCTTAACACACGGTTGAGTCATAATCAAGGCCTGCTAGTTGTTCATTCATCATAAAACGCTCCTAAAAATACCTTCTCACCCTCCTTTTTCAATCAATCTCTGAAGACTAAGTACCTCGCAAGGTTTTCACTTAAGACTGATAGGATACGTAAACAACGCCATGAACCAATGAGGGGACGCCTGGCCTGTTTTTTTTTCATCTTAGACGGGTTGCCATAATCCATGTTATTTGCCTATTTTACAGAAAGCGATCATTGTTTTAAAACATTTTTACACTTTTGCATGCTTCAGCAGCATTGTCTAAGAAAGAATGCTCAAGTCTTCAAACAAGCCTATGATCCCTTAGACCAGAGATCATGGCTCTTTTGAGGTGGAGGGCAAAGTTGCCTGAAACCTATACAATTTGGGGCCGCACAGAAAATTGGTGGGGAAGGGTTTCGGAGGGAGGGCATTCCAGTTCTCCAAATATACACGAATTTGGAGAACTGGAATAAACACGATGTTTCTTTCCATTCATAATACCATTTTGTGTTAAAACTGTTTTGTCAGCCCTAAAATAGGCAAGGGCGAAAATGGGGGGGGGTGGGGGTTGACGCCGGGCCGGGTGCCACCTAATGTTGCCACGCGGGCCTTGACTTGCCGACCCCTGCCTTAGACTCAAACAAGCGTGACATCAAGATTGGCGCACCATACCATATCATTTATTTGTTGATGTCCACGAGTGCCTTGAAATCACGGCAGCAGTAGACCTCTCCGAGGGTGCGTCAAATTACAGCGTCTCCCTACGTGGCATGTAGCAGTGCGTGCGCACGTCACAGTGCGCGTGCAGCGACAGGGTTGTCAAAACACTCCCGCTCTGGCACAGAATTTAGAAAATGAGAATAGGGGTACAAACCAAGACCTAGAAGCTCGTTCTGTTTACTAAATATAGTATTTACTAAATGTATTTTACTAAATATTTAGTGCGTGTAAAAGAAATATATCGCGTTCGGGAAGATTGATGTCTCTGTTAGTTGCCCTCGTTTCATTGAAGAAGTCTTAAATCTTCGACAGGTTGGCCTTTCTAAATAGTAGTACCCCCATCGCTATGCAAATTTTCCCCTCCTGAATTGTGTGTGTAGTATAAATGCACCTCACATAGAATCGCAAATGCCAGATAAAAAAGGGGGAAAAAAGCTGCCTAAGTCTCCTACAATTGCTTGGCACTTGGTACGAAGAACGAAGACAGCACATGCCAGTTCATGGTGACGATTCATGCCGGTTCGTGGTCGTGACAAATTATCTTGAGCTTGAACAGTTTCGCTGTTAAAACAAGAGCCCTCGCCTGCTGTCTTCGAGGAGCACCGACGCACGCAGCCGGGTTTTATAGCGCGGGCTTGATTCTTGGCCCCGGCGGTTGCATCTCCATAGCGGCGAATTAACAACAAAAACACGGTGGACTCCTCTGTTATTAACACGATAGTGAAACGTTTTCTTACATAAGTAATTTATAGTTTACTGTACTTTGATATAAGAAAGCTTATACGATGCCTGCTGGTGTTTGACATGTAGCTAAAGCAACATTTAACGCAAAATCACTCTCGTTGAAGCTCACTGATACATCTCGATCCCGACGACTAACGTCCATTATCAACAATTATATAGTGTTAAAAATTCCCTCCTTGTCGTCATACCCTTTTGGTAGCTGCGGTAAGTGGTGAGAGCATCACTGAAAAAGTGGTGTAACAGCCAGAAGAGAGTGACTGAGAGTAGCACACACACACACACACACACACACACACACACGCGCGCGCGCGCGCATACGCACACACGCACACGCACACACTCTAGTGTCACAATCGTTCAAACGATGCCGGTCACTGGCAGAAGCTTCAACAGCGCTTTCGTAGATTTTAGGCGGGAAGCTCATTCTTTTCGGGATCGTACGATAGATTTCCGGGAAACAGCTGGTCGACCAAACAATGCTGAGTTTGGCTGTCTCGGAGAAATGCACTGATGCACTGACTTGAAAAATGTTCAGTGGTTTCGTCAGTGCTGCCATGGTTATAGGCAGCACTGTCTATCGATGCGATGCCGCAAGCAAAGGCGTTCGTAAGAGGCACACCGAGCCCCATGCGGCAGAGAATAATCGTCTCATGTCGGGTTTTGCCAGTGGAATGGAAAGTCGCAAGCATGGAACAAGGTGTTGAAGGCGGGTGTATAAAAACTTGGGCGTCTTACTCATAGACCTTTCCACATGATGCCCGAAGGTATTATTCTTATTTTCTATTTACTGCATGCAGTATGAACAACATACATGTTCGCGTCGGGATATTTTAGCTCGTGCACAAGATACAACCGAGTGATGTCTGCTAGCATGGTTACCAGCAAAATTACTGCATATACTGGATTCCATCAGCCAGCGGTCGTTGTAGAGCACCTATTGACTGATGTCCTCCCGTGTATTGCCTATATAGTGTGAACGGTCCTGACAGTGTCCACTCACACAAGCCATCGACAGTGCACACTGATGGCATATTTGGCGTAAGGCTTCGCTCGCCATCAGCTGCGACATAGCCAAACTTTCTGTCTCTGTGCTGGCAGCGCAGATATATAGCTGATGGTGTTTCCTAAATTATCTGTACTTGTTCTAAACGCCACTGCAACAGACGGGTTAGCTGAGACGTAACCTCCACGGCTACAGTGAGATTTATTTGTGTTTTCAGCTTTTTTAGATGAGTGCATAATGTTTTAGACGTTAACGAGCCTTGCTGTGGGATCCCTCGTTTGTGGTGCAATGTTTGAAGGTGCCGACAAGCACGTCGACAAACGCTCCTCTCGAATGTGTCCGGCGGTTGCATGCAGGTGACCAACTACAGTCTGTTCTCATTGCTGGAGTTCATTGGCGTCAGCGGGCCCACGTGGGACGACCAGCCGCCCTTTCAATGGAGCACGACCACATTCGAGGATGGTCATATTGGGCAGCCCGACTTATGGCAGTTCGAACCAGTACATCACAAATGGGCTCTGTCACGGCTCCAGTGGGGCAATTCGTAGAAAGCTGCGCGTATTATGCGGCTCTGCGTCTTTCTACGTGTTATTGGCCGTCCCTATAACAACTTTATTTCGCACTTTTTTGTTATATAGACACGCTATAAAATATTCGTACGCAGAAAATTAAACGAAACACATATCCACCCAGAGCGCTCTTCATTTATATTCTTTCTAGTAGTATTTACAGTTTATATTAACCGGCTTTGTCATGTTGCAGCAGGTACTGTACAGGTCAATTATATCGTCTATTTTTCTCCGGTCGCCTTGGTGAAGCGGACCATTCGTTATTGCCGATACCAGTAATTGCGAAGGAAGGGTGAGGGGAGAGCGTCGAAACCTCTGACAACTAGCAGAAAAATAAAAGATAGGTTGAAATGGTGCAAACCGTGGAGCCTGGGTTAGTAAACAGTGAAATGGGCCCACGCAGAAATTAATGAGAGAAAAACTCTATGAGAGGTTGCATTTTTCGCATGAAGTTGCTTTGCGGTGCCCCACAGCATCCAAAATTTTGTTAGCTGGGCAGCCAAGATATATAATAACCTAGTAAATTTGGTATCTTCTTCGAATTTATTGAATTTCATAGTTACTATTAGTCATGTGTGCTTAATGAATATTCAAGGAATGGTGAGCGTAGTACTTGAAAACTGCTTTTTCATTTCTTCAATTAGCAGTACGAAAGCGTTCGTTTATTTTAATTACAATTTGTGTTTAGATGGTCCCATGTCACGGGTACCACCGGTTTGCAAAGCCAGTTCATCTCAAAGTTTGGTTTGACGGAGTGCCGAGTGAGGCGAGACCCAGAGAGGTTCTCACGTGAAGGAAGAAAAGGCTGGCTTTTCATGTAAACAAAGCAGCTACGGGAGTACACAAAACCACGTGAACACGTGCACCACGTCGGGAATTCTTTCAACAAATGCTTCTGGGGTGCTGCTTTATTCTCCTGTGAGAAGTTGTTAATTAAAATTCAATTTTTTACCAGACAAAATTTGAAAGTCGTCAAGCCAAAAAGCCGCGAGAACGGCTTGACAAAGGCCGGGTGACCTGTACAAACACACGGCAGTAGCGCGAAAATGATGGTGAGTCTGTAACATGCAAGTGCAATATAAAACATTAACAACACACACTAATTCAAAAATAATTTTTAGCTGACTATTTTACACCTACTATAAATATTAAATATTATTTTTCCAAAAGAAATACACACCATGCACAAATCATCGCATACATCGACACCTTAAGGCTTAAAAAACGAACCCACAAAAATGCATTTGTGTGAACATACACATAACATCGCTAACATTACGCAAGATAACAAAAGGTAAAATGATACAATTTATTAACACTAGAATAAACTATGAAAAATATTACACAGAGAATTGTAAGGTGCGCATGTTTATAAGAGCCCAGAAAGCACAAATGTGAGTAGTTCGGATCTTGTTGCAGGTCATTGCACTTTATTGTGTGTTCAGTGTTGTGGGAACGTTGTAGGCCAATGCTTGGTATCTATACGTAGTGCGGAAACGCTGTACGAACCAAAAGTCTGTTTTTTTTTATGAGAACGGTAATAACACGCTGCTCAAGACTTAGCAGTGATATAATGAAGTTTCAGAACTCTGTATTAAAAAAATAAATGTGTCGAATAAGACAATTTGGGTAAAGGTTGCCAACGCTCACATTCAATTCTTGGAAAGCCTCACGCGTCGTTTAAAACGGGTGAATGTTTCCATACTGGTGGACTGTCTTTTTTATAGCGTAATATTTTATTTCTGTTTGCTCTGCTTGTCGGGGCCCTTACAAGGCTGCAATTTATTCGATGATATACAGATAGCGCATTATATACCTGAGCTTTTTCACCTTGTGCGGCAAAATGCTTCGGCAACGAGACATCACTCCTGTTACCATATTAAGAAAGCTTTTTGCAAACAAAATTCCCATGTTTATCTCAGCCTAGAATTGAAGAAAAATAAACTCCAAGTATTTTTCAGCTATCAACAATACCTATCGGCACTGATTCAAGAACTAAAGGTTGATGGGTAATAAAAACTGTGTTTTTGGCACCAAAAACAACGCCTTTGTTTTTTTTAATAATTGTCAGCTGGTTCATTATGGAGGATGATGAAATTGTTGAAAGTATTTCATTTACTGTGCTTGAAATGTCATCTAGGCTTTTTCTATCAAACATTGTAGTTAAATCATTCGCAAATATGACGTATTTACCTGCTATGTCCAGCTGATCAATATCATTAATGTAAACATAGAACATCAGCCGACCAAGTATACTGCCTTGCGGCACACCATGAGTGAGCGGCAAAAATGATGAGCTATTTACAATTATGCAAAAACTGGTCACACCTATCGCTTAGATAATAAGATTGAAATAAAGATTTGCAAACTTTACGAATGCCAATTGATTGTAATTTGTCTAAATTCATAATTTAATGAAGCTATGGAAATGCCTTACTGAAGTATAAAAAGATGCCGATTTCGAATTCATTTTGTTCAATGTTTTGAAGTATAGTTTCCTTCAATATAAACAATGCACTTTCAGTGGACTCGCCACTTGTAAAGCCAAACTGTGTATTCATTACCACACTGTGCCTAATAAAGATTCTCGTTATGTGGACATCAATAATTTTTCTAAACAATTAAATAAGACAGGAAGGACTGACATAGGTTTCTATAATCAAGCTTTCTTCATGGCTTCTGGAAAAACACCATGTTCAAGAAGTGAGATATATATATAGGCTAATACATTACTAAGTAAATATCAAGCGTGTTTTTTTGGTGTCATCCGCAAGTCATCGGCATAAGGCGATTTAGTTTATTCAGATACCTAAAGACGTCGCAACTTCACTTTCGTTTGTGCGACCCCCAAAAAGCCATTGCAAAAAGTATTGCGGATGCTAGGACATCAGATTTCGTACCCTCTTGCGAGTCTGCGGCTTTTTTCTGTTGAAACAGTCTGCTGGCAAAGAGTGCTTGCAGAGATTGTGGCAGCCTACACAACCCAAGACGCAGGGGGTGGTTTGTTGTTTATACAAACACGAAGACATGTTTGGCGAGCAGTGCAGTAAAGCACTTTATTGTTGAATTTGATTGATTGATATGTGGGGTTTAACGTCCCAAAACCACTATATGATTATGAGAGACGCCGTAGTGGAGGGCTCCGGAAATTTAGACCACCTGGGGTTCTTTAACGTGCACCCAAATCTGAGCACACGGGCCTACAACATTTCCGCCTCCATCGGAAATGCAGCCGCCGCAGCCGGGATTCGAACCCGCGCCCTGCGGGTCAGCAGCCGAGTACTTAGCCACTAGACCACCGCGGCGGGGCTTTTATTGTTGAATTTAAATACTTATGCGTGTGTACAAAAAAAAACATACCCCACAAGTTACTTCATCTTCAAAATTTTGTATGTGCTTTATTAAGGAGAAAGACGGGGGGAGGAAGTATGCAGTGATTCAAAGTTGGGGAACGGTCTGAAAAAGAGACCAGACTCGGGCAGTGCTTTCCCACCCTCTTGTATCTTCGAAGCAGAAAAGAAACTAACGCACATGTTCGGTTTTCATCTAGCTCTTTTTGTATTCGTTCTAGCACTTGCTTTCGATCAATAATTGCTGAGCAGTGTTTTCTTAAGGAAGACAAAATAACGCCTTCCTCGTGTGTTTTATGAATCACTAAATGACATTTGCCCCCCCCCCCCCCATTGCCTATTTGTCTGCTATTGTTCAAAGAAAAGCAGTACGTATCGCTCGAAGACGCCAAGCTTCGCTTCACGCTTTCTTTTTTTACCCACCCAATAAAAGGAGGCTCATCAGTTATTTTTCAATACTTTGAACGCCCGAAGGCACTACAGAGGGGAGTGGTGTGTTTGAGAATGCACAAGTGATTAACAGTTACACTGAAGTTATTAGAGTACAAATGATAAATTATTGAGGTATATACCAGCAAATCTGTGATAGAAAGAAATGAATTTGCTCATGATTCATTATTGGTTATGCCTATTCATGACTTCTGGTTTGCAGTAAACCTTTTGGTTGTCTCTTCAGAACCTTGTCGAATGACTTTTTCTTCTTGAAATGAAATATTCCTGTTCTTTCTGGGGACTAGTCTAACCAAGCTGAAGTGAAATCTGCACCCCCACTTGTTAACAGGGCATTTTCAATAGAAATCATTTATTTGTGACCTTGTTTTACACGCATACGCATGCACCATGCTCCTCCTCAGGAGGAGGGTGGCGAAGGGTCGCCGCAGTGCCCTTTCCTCTCTATATCAATTGAACGCCACTATTAGTCTTCCTTTTTAACTAACACTACCTGAGACACACTAGCACTGGAGGATGATTCAATAATGCCATTCGCTACACTCTTGTTAACCTCTTTCTAGATGACGCTTCACTCGGAAGCAGACACTTTGTAGGGATGGCGGTGAACAGGGTTGGCATTACCTGTGGGTATGCGATGCTGAAAAAAAAAGATGTGTGGCCTAAAGGTCAATAGCTATACTCTAAAATGTCCTTGTAGGTCTCTAGAATGCACTGTAGGTCTTCAACTTGCTCTGGCCGAAGATCAGTGGCAATCATCTCTTTTGACAATTCGACGGCTACACGAATGTGCTGTGAGAGGTGTGCGCTGCGTTGCAACAAGAGTATCTAAGGACAGATCTTCGATTTGTAAATCGAGCAACGACAAAGGTTGGCTACGAAAATTCCTCGTAACAACAATTGATCCATGTAGCCGCAATTTACAGGTGGTGGGCAAGTTTTGCTAGCTGTTATGCTCAGCACCTGTAGGGAACTGCAACACTACGCGCGAATAGTACGTCGATGAGAGGCGTAGCGTAAAAGTTACCATCGGACACAGTTGGCGAGCACAGGAAGTCGATGTGTGTCGCAGTTTTGGAGGGCAGGTGCACAAAATCGCTGCATTGTACTAGGCACGTAGGTTGGTACGGGAGGCATTGATGTTGCAGTTAAAGGCGGAGCACGCCGGCAGAACAATCAATAGGAGCAGAATTAGCAGCAAGGAAATCAAGGCCTTGTTTGAAGTCGTAAGGACATGTTGCAAGGATGGTAAAAAAATGACCATTTGATGACCGGCTCAGGTGAATGGTAAGTTGAGCTGAGCACATGCCCACGACAAG